ACGATTGGCTATATACAAAAGCCCCACTCACACGGGCCTACTCTCGAAATCCTCCGAGACATTAAACACGAACTGAGGCAAAGAGGCTATCCTCGGCAGATTCAGCAGCAGGTCTCCTAACGAGTCCTTCCTCGGAATATCCGGGCCCACATCACCCTCAATCACGATTTTCTTCTCATTATTGCACTCATTTTCAGGGGGAGGATTGTTAGGATTGTTGTTGTTGTCCTTCTGAAGAAGGCAGCAGAGGGAGTTGACTCTAGTAACAAGGGATTTCTCGATGTCCAATCCAGGTGGAATCTGTGAATCAGTGAAGAGGCAGCGATTGATGTCGTTTAGAATCTCGAGGCTTTGCCACTCCTCGCTCGAGAGGGTGGGGTTTTCGGGCTGCTCGGAAATGCGGCTCTCGAGGTGCCCCACAAGGTCGCTCATCGACATGGACGAGCAGAGCCCGGGAATCGTGATCTGCTCCAATTTCCCGAGCTCTTTCAGCTGCTGCTCCATGTTTTGGCTGTTCTTCGTGTCGTTCACTGGAGGTGTGCCTATGGCTAGGTGTTGAAAAATATTTACAGAGGAAAATTGGTCAGTAGGGTGTAAAATGTAGTGAGATGTGATTATGTTATTTAGTTTACTGTAGTACTACAACTCATTATTTTATTATTAATCATATCATTCTATTCAAACAATTTCCCTAGTGAAAGAAAAAATTTAAGTAGAAGCATATAACATCCCCACTTAAGAGTCTATATAGATGACAAATATATATCTCAAGAGGAAGAGTGATATAATGTGGGAATTTTAATTGACATGATACAAAACATGGAAGTCTTTAACTTGGTTATAGTCATTCCTCTTAGGGCCATAAAGTTGTTCAGTTCAGTGCACTATTTCAACATGGGCCACCAAAAGCCATTAAGGACAATATTTTTCATGAAACATCCTGAACAGCTAACTATTAAAGAACTTTAGGGCTTGTTTTAGTCTATAAGGATATCGTAAATTAAAGTAAAGAACTAAATATAACTGGTGTACAAATTCACCCAGGTCCCACATAGCAAAGGATCTGGCTACACTTGCATTATCGTCAAGATCATGATGTTTAGGAATGCAGTTTCAATTTTTTTCTTTTTTTTTTTTTTTTTTCT